TGATTTTTCTACTATTTTTCTTCATACATGTCTTTGGTTATTCTTATTGATTGGCTTCTTGCAACTCAAACATTGTTGTTATATTTTTTCTTCCCCCTTTCCCTCCAAAAAAAAAAAAAAAAACTCTACATACTTGTTGTTGTATGTTTCTTACCTTGAATGTTTTGTTTTAGCCTTTTGGTTAATATTGCATAGCTTGGTTTTTTCTGTGAATAGGGGACTAAGGTTTCAGCAGTCATTTATAGGAACGACATTCGTTATTTTGCTAATCTGCTACAGCCCTTTAAGCGATACTATATCACTAGTAGGACTGTCAAAAAAACAGGATGCAAAGTATAAAATTAGCGACTATCACTTCTCATGGGTAATTCATAACAAGATATTAGTTGAGAAGTATGTGGAGCCAAATCCACCAATGCTACAATGCACTTTTGAATTCACCAAATTTGAGGACCTCTTTAGGTTTGCCGACACGGAAAATGTTCAGAGTAAATTATATCCATGCTTTATTAATCGAAATATAAATTTATTTTCATAGTTCCTTTATTATTGAAACACAGCTAACCTCTTCTCTTTTAGTTTGTACAAAGATTTACAGGCTATTGTTGTCAATGCATTTGCGACAAAGGAACAGAATAACGGCTCTACAACAAGAGACTTCATTGTTGTGAATGAAGAGTTAGTTATATAAACCTTACTTTTAATATTTCTATTCAATGCATAAAACTGTTGCATTCACATTTTTTCCCATTTTCCCCCTTCTTTGTAAAGGAAAAGGCCAATGTTTCTTATTCTTTAGAATGAGTTTGAACAAAATCAAGAAACACAACTTGCAAACAGCATTGGGAATGCCAATGTTATCATTGGCATGAAGCTGAAAATCACAACTTTTAATTGTAAGTGAAGTTAATGTACTTTTAACACCTCATACTTCTATGATAGTCATCCAGTTATAATAACTTAGCCAATCACTATCCTGAAATTGCTTTATTAGTTAACATGAACTATTACTTTTATTATTAGACTTATCCCTAACAACCAAACCTAGGTGGCCTTCTGATTGTTCCTCCCACTTCTAAAGCAAATGCACTCAAAGAATGGTGTGTATGTTCTTCGACCATTTTAGTGCAACTCTTCCAGATTCCTTTGACATCTTATGGTCCACTGCATTGATTTTTTGGATAGGTATAATGCAAATAAAGAAGAAATTGTAGAGTTGATTCAACAAATGGCATACAAAGATTCATCTAGGTTGCTACCACCTCCAAGTGTTCATGATGTGATCAGTGTAGCTAATGCACTTAACACACTCAAAGATGTAACCTCCTTTTTTATTTATAACCTGATTTATATGTTTTAGATATCCAAAATAATGCAAAACTTAGGTGTTCTTCTTTCTGTTAAAAAAAATCTATTAGGCGAAAACAGCTTGGATAGCAGGAAAAACCAAGTTGACCCTTGGATAGCAAAAATTCTGGTTTGAAGCATGTGAGAGCTGCCAAAAGGCTATCAATGTTGATGTGGGATGGGATATGAGATGCCCATCTTGCAAAGAAGAGAACAAAGTTGTAGCAAGGTAATTAGCAAATTAAGTTTCGCTCTCCTATAATGAAAAATTAGAATATCATGTTTTGTTCTCAATGTGTATTAGGACCCGAATTGGAATTGTTGTGGATGATGGTACAGGCTCCATAAACACTGTTATCTTTGGCCTTGATGCTGAGAAGCTTATACCATTTACAACTCTTCAATTCTGGGAAGCTCATAATGAGGTAAGCTAACAATCTTGCTAACACAAATTTCTACTGCAAGTTTAACTCTTGCATGATAATACAACTACCAGCTTAATACGTCTTGCTTAATGTTGTCGATTCTTTTTTCCCCTTCATAGACTTCATCTATTCTTGTTTGAAATGCTTGGCTTGTGGAACTCCAGTCTTCATGAATATTATCAAACAAAAAACAATCACAACTAATAGGTTTATCGCAGATAGCTAACAATGACCAAGTAACAAACTAAATGCTGGCCTGGGCTTAACTTTATCAACAAAGTACGAGTATCTATTCTTATATCATTGTTTGAGTATTAGAACAAGTAATAACTAACTAATATTCTGATTTTTATGCTTCTTTTCTTGGGTATAAATGCTGCTCTCACCATGTAAAAATGTAGTGATTATAATCATTAGAATGACTATGTACAAAATTTTTAAAAAATCAAGTACGAAATATATTAATGACTTGTTTGTACTTCAAATTAGTAGTATATTATGTGTTTAGTTGAAGATTTTATTTTCAAAAAAAAGAAAGTTCATCACTGCTCTTTATGACTTAGTTTATTCTCCAGCTTTGATCAAACAATATATCCATTTGATTTTAGCTTTGTTTTAAAGTTGTTTCATTTGTCTTATATTATTTTTCCGGGACCAGGACATATAGAATGAATGCTCTGAAATTGGGCTATATCCATTCTTTTTTTCCGTCCATAACTTATGCTTGGGATCCAATTCTTTTTGCACAATGTGAAGTTACTCGTAATTTGCATATCATTGCCCAAGTCAAAATCTACAATAAGAACTTCTACTTCCAAACAAATAGATAATATTTTAGGATACACTCAATAATTAATTATACTTTAAAACAAAAAATTGCAGGAGCTTAACTTTTCTCCTAAACTAGCATCTGCAATAAAAAAATATTCGATTGTGTGTCTCATCCGCTACTATGAGGCAGATTATCAAGGCCAGAAGGAAGGCAAGTATAGTATTGTCAAGGCATACACTATTGAGGAATTAACTCACATTCCAATAGCAATTACAACTGTAGAAACGAATGAAAAAATTCCAGACCTTCATGCTCCTGCAGTCTGCTAAGAAGAATGAATTTTTCAGTCGATCAACCAAAAAACTATTTGTTACCATTGCTGAATCTTCTGCTACTGCAAACAAAATGCCGCCTCTAGTGGCCATAGCAAAGAGAGCCTTGGTTTTTGGAAGTGTGCCTCCTGAAATTGGTTCAAATTCTGCTGAAGTTGATACACCTGCCTCATAGCCCACCAATGCATTCTCAACTTTTGCTCCAACTAATATTGCACCTGGAAGTCCTTTGAAGAAGCAGCGTGATGACGAACTCTGAACTTGCTTGAAGCCTTTTGAATTGCTAATCTTGCTAATTTTGAAGCACTTTACAGCTGAATTGCTAATCTTGCATCTTTTGACACAATATTGACATCTATTAAGAAACTGTTCTTTTGTGCAACTTAATGGATCTCAATATATGATATTTTGTAATTGTAACTTATCATTGCACTTTATATTAGGCAATCAACATGTCATCTCCCATCTCTGTAAGATTGACTTGCACTTGAAGATGTCAAACTGTTTGTAAAATTACTTGCCAATCTTTTGTCATCTTCTCTTATCTTTTGCAACAGAGATGGTTTGCTGGTTTTGTTTAGTCTTATTTTTTAGGCACATGCTTGATTGGTAATTTATGATTATAAGAATGCTATTTCACAAATATTACTGTTAATCTTATCTTATACGAAAATATATGACAACAGATTATAGGGGGCTGCTGTGTTTAGCACAGCCGAAAACCTCCTAGTCTTTTACATAAGAATAAAAAGGGCAGTTTCCATCCTAGGACTCGTGAAAAGGCCCTTCTCCATTCAACCTTTTGTCACGTGGCCCAAGTACATTGTTCCCACGTGATGATCTTATACTCTGTTTGGTGCGATAATTGCAAACTTCACTACCTTCAATAAACAAATAATTTCCTTAGATTTTTTTTTTTTTTAGGTGTGTCCCGCAGGGAGTGGACCCCACAGACTATTCACCACCCTCAGCAACTTGCTGGCAGCAAGGTTCGAACCAGGGACCTGAGGCTCCATCTTCAGCAACCTCAACCACCAGACCAAGCCCCTGAGGGCTTAATATCTCTAATGTCATGTGAAAGATTCCAATAGTAACAAATCGGTGAAAATTGGTAAAAATTAGGCTGTTGAACCTATTTCCACCAAAATTTCCTTTTTATTTTTTAACTTTACTCCAATCCAAGTTATTCAACATTAAAATAAATTAAAAAAAATTAAACCTTTGACCTAGATAGTTGAATCGATTGGATCATGAACTAGAAATTAACGATTCACTTGTCGATTGAGGTATAAGAGGAAGGGGACACATTTATACAATTATCCGCCGTATTGTTTAGCTCTTTTTTTGTTCCATTATATAAAAACAGAGAGACAAAATAAAAACAACCAAGATAGCAACAAATTGATTTGTAAACTTGATTTCATGTTTAATTTTTGGCTAAAGTTTCAAAAGAATGATTATTATATTTGTTATTAGCACAATATACTTAAAAAATAAGATTATTTTTCTTACATTGACAGTCTATACACTGTCAATAGTAGATGAATAATAATTATATAAAATTTGAATTTGAAATCTAATTTTTCACATGTGTTATGAATTCAATAGTGATAGCGTCTAAATTTCTAGTGTATATAAGATTTATAATTAAAAAATAAAGTTAAATAAAAAAATAAAACATATAATAATTGCTTACGTGGATAGTGGAGTGGCTCGTAGGGTGGGATGAAATGATGATGAAAAACTTGTGTAATAAGGGACAAATCGGAAAGGGGTGGTGGATTTGAAAAGACTATTATATACCTTCCAAACTGTCCGATTGTCATCCTAATCCTAATTGAATTAGTTTGCAAAAGTCTCCTGGTTTGACAAGGTCTCTAGGTTTGACTTGCGATTTTGTAGGTAAATAAGATCATAATAATAGAAATAACTGGATAAGAATGATCCTACCTCGACAAAAAAAAAAGAAAAAAGAAAAAAAGAAAAAAGAATAAGAATGAAAAATAAGATACTTTAGATAATAATAAATCTTACTGTTCCAACCATGAGGGTGCTCTCATACGATCATGACTTCTCAACCGACAACTCTTTCCCGGTTCATTTCAACCGCACCACAATCACAATGATTATGGTGCCCCATTTCTTTTTCTTAAACTGCACTCATATTTCTTAACATACACTTTTTACAGTTTATATCCGTATATTTCCAAGACATCCCATTTTAAATAAGCAATCATATTGGACAATCACGTGAAGAGTTATAAAAGAAAACAGAATCAAATCTTGAAAGATGGATGGGATGTCTTGGCCTTCTCAGTCGGAGGTAATTCTGGGCCTTTTTTTTTTCATATTGTGGTTTGTATTTGACATATTGTTATTCATTTTGTTTTGATTGAAAGATTTTAGTATAATGGTCATCTGTAGCTGATTGAGTAAAAATGGTAATGTGGGTTCAATTCTTTGAATGATTTTATCCTGATATGCAAATGGGATTTTGTAATGATATGCAAATGATTTTATCCCATTTTAAATGTCTATAAATGTTTCTGGTGATGCTGAAAAAGTGTTGGTGCATTGAAGTTTGGTGTTGCAATGTTGTCTTTTCTTTGAAATTTTCTACCAGTTTGTTAATGAAATTAATAATGCAGTTGGATGGAATGAGAGAGAAGGTTGCTAAGATGTCTATAAATGTTTCTGGTGATGCTGAAAAAGTGTCGGTGCATTGAAGTTTGGTGTTGCAATGTTGTCTTTTCTTTGAAATTTTCTACCAGTTTGTTAATGAAATTAATAATGCAGTTGGATGGAATGAGAGAGAAGGTTGCTCAGATGTCTGGTGGAGATGCCAAAGAGGTTAGATTTGTCGTATCTCCATACCGGATTTGTCCTTTGGGAGCTCACATTGATCATCAGGTGAGTCCACAATTCTTCCTTTTACATGCTCGATTTTTCTTGGATTCTTGGCCTAGACGGTTAGGGATCAGTTTAAGAGAGTTTTGTAGAGAAGATGTGCTATCGCGACATGCTTTTAAAAACATAACAAATGTGCAATTAAAAGCTTTAGGGGTGGTTATGGTGAAGGGACGGGACTTTGCCATTCTTCAATGGCAAGGTTGTTTTGTGCTATGCAGGTCATGTGGTTGACGTATAAAAGTAGCTGGCCTAAGCCTTTTCACATTGGTGTTGCTTCATCAGGCTGTGTCAGTCATGAATTGAACACATGGAATTAGCATATTTCTGGCTGTATATGGACATAGCCTGCATTGAGCTTGCCTTTCCATGATATCACAAGAGGTGTTGCTTACTTGCTTGTGTGCTGAAGATGACTTTTAGCTTCTATGAGTTCCATTGGTAGATTCATATGACCAAAAGATGGTTTTGGCAATGACTGCTTGGAATTATGCATCTATGGCCTCACTTGGCTAGCCATTTCCCAGTCTAAACCCCACCCTCCCCTTACCCCTATCCGCAAGGCAAAAGGAACGGAAATGAGAATATATCCAATTGCTGAATTTTGAGTTGACTTATGCAACTGGTACCATTTTGCAAAATGTCACATGTTGGTTTTGATTACGTATAGAATCCATTAATGCCCTAGACTCCTATAAAACTTGTATATCTGACTTTTAACTTTTCTCTTGCACTTTTAATTAACTTACTGATTGTACTAAGTATGCTAATTAAAATTTTAGTCAAAAATTTGATAATCTGTGAATAATTTTATCTAACAGGGTGGAAGAGTTTCTGCTATGACAATAAATAAGGGCATTCTGCTTGGTTTTGTTCCTTCTGATGATTCACAGGTATGATTGTGTCACATGCAGACTTGGTATTTGAACTTCCGACCAGACTCATGTACCATTTGGCTTGATGCTTTCATTTACTTCTATAAATTTGTTTTGAGCACATATTTGGGTACTGGGACAGAGAAACCTTTTTTTTTTTTTTTTTTAAAAAAGGGTAGGAAAGTGTTAGAGACATGTTGCGTGGAATTTTAAGAAAGACATGCATGTTGTGTCACTATCAATGGATAACGTGAGTGCCCTCATCGTACCACTCTAATGTTTTTTCAAGTGACTCGAATATTTCTATTGTTTGCCACTACCTACAAAATTTTGCCAGTTTAAATCATAACTAATCATGGAAATTGTCAAATCGTTTGAAAAGAGAAATTGGGATTGCCATCTATATTTTATAGGCAAGTCTTCCTTGTTTTAACTTCTTCATGAGCAAATAATTTGAACTAGCAAGATAGATAATCATAAGAAAGAGGAAAAAATAAATAAATAATATAACATGAAACTCGTCCCCTCACAGGCTCACTGCTATTGTTAACTTTTTTGTGCATGTTTTCCACTGCAATTATGATCTTTTAATTTAATCACTAACATTGATATTTTTGGAATTAGAAGTTCTAAATTCAATTTTTCCTTTATTCCTTTTTACTTCCTGCTGAAAAAAAAAAAATCAATCTTCTATGCCAAATGATGTTCTTTCACTCAGATTATAAATCATGTCATGTGGTTGGAGGATATTAATCTTTCATGATTCATGAGACATCATGATCTCAATGAAGTGGATAAGTAGAACATACACTAACATAGAATCCAAACTATAAGTGGTGGGTCGAACTTTCAAATTTCTTACTCAAAAAGCCTCTAAAATATGAATTTATGAGGCGTGTAACTAAAACAAGAAATCCAACTATGTTTAAATTTGATTAAAGCAAAGATACGAATGCTCTCTCTTTTTTCGTTTTGACAAATCTAAGATAAGTATAGAATGGAATAGATTGTAGAGATCAAGAGCAATGTGCTGAAGAGGCAATGATGTTCTCTAAGTAGGCCATAATGCGAAAAGATGCAACACGTACATATTCTATTATCTCAATCTTTGCAGATTTTGTGCAGTACCAGCCTTACCAAAATTTCTAATAACATCTACATTTTTTTTCATATAAACAAAATTATTTTTAATTAATTTGCACGTCCATAGAATGTGCATCTCTCACTAGCGTCAATAATTTTAATAATATTAACTTACTGTTTTTGTTTTATTTTGTTTTGTTTACCCACCCCTATCATATTTTAGGGCCTAATGACAAACATATATAGCATGCAAAATACATAATAAAGGTGTGCAAGATGCTAAAAACGGTGTACAAATATTGTTACCCTAATTTCAGATAAAAATTTTAATACGAATTCAGACATAATTAGTTGCATATATATTCGAGTGTGGAAGCTGACCCAGGTTTCACTTGCACACCCAATACCAAGAAATGTCATCTATTTTTTTATTTAATTTTTTGGTTAAACCACGACTTAGGACATGTTTTCGGGGTCATAGGTGAGATTTTTACAAATTATCTATTAATATACTCCCTCCGTCCCACTTTGATAGTCCTGTTTTCCTTTTTTGTCTGTCCCAAATTGCAGTCCACTTTCCAATTGAAGAATGTAGTTGTATTTTCATTTTCCTAAAATACCCTTATTCAATATAAGTTGTTGTTGCTATAAACCTACCCCATTTAATGAGAGTTGATTCTTTTTTTATCATCAATTCAAGTTCCCATAAAGTTGTACTCTATTTAATGTGAGGGTATTTTAGGAAAATAGCAATTTAAATTTACTTTTCCAACAAAGTTAACTACTTTTTCTTAAACTGTGTGAAAAAAGAAACAGAACTATCAAAGTGGGACGGAGGGAGTAGTTTTTACATCAATAACGAAATTCAAATAAGATATCCTCACTAACTGAACCTATATTGTGTTACTCAGTTGGCAAATGTCACCTAGCACTAATAAGCTTTTATACTGGCTTCACCAGGATTTTTGTTTCCCATGACTTGTTTTTTCCAACCAAAGTGAGACACCGCATCAGCTTTTGTGTCCTCACTTCTTGCAGTGGTCGATGTAAGAATTCCAGATGGATTCCAACACGGTGCTGGAATAGTGATCTAACTCTTGCAGGCCATTTGTGTCCTCTTAAAAATAAACCATACCTGAGTTCATCTACCCCACTCCTGGGAATCTTCTGCCGCCCCCCCTCGCCATGCCAAACCAAAATAGTCCACTTGTCCTTTAATTTCTCCCTTTCTTTTGCGGGAATTGTTGCACGAACCTCCCCTTAAGATGGAGATTCGACATAAAAAGTAAGCATAATGCCCTTTAGAATATGTTTTATTACCCTAGTCCAACAAAACATGGACGCCCATGTTCCCTGCAACAACTTTTAACCGCTTATCAATTAAGGGTGTCTTCTAAAATAGTCTTGACCATTTTACACTCTCCGTTGCTTATTTAAAAAATTATCCATCGTCATTTTTATATTATTACATTTTTCTAAAATTAATGAACTATGAGATGATTGCAAAGAATGCCACATGCACATTGCAAATGCATATCCTCTGAATTTATGAGTTAAAATTATAGATTGATCTTAGGTTCTTAGCAGCTTTGTTAGTGTTTATGTGTAACTCTTTTATGATGAGGGCTTGACCTTTAAGGCATGATCACAATTTTGTTAAACTTTTTATAAATTAACCAAGCTATGAATTTAGTCCCCTTCATTTAAAGAATTTCTTCTTGAAAATAGTATGTGTAAAACTTTCATAAACTGACGGAAGCAATATTAAATAATCTTATTATGTTTGGAGATTTGGTCTGTCATTTTGAGAATCATTTGTCTTTGTGTAACAGGTATCTACCTCCATATACTTCCTTCTTACCAATTAAGGATGGGAAATGTTTTCCGGCAACTGAAAAGAAAACTAGAGCCAAAAGAAAAAACATTCTAGATTACCTACTATTCTCGCAGCTGACTTATATAGTGCTGTTTGTAATCCTCATATGCATCACTGAGAGAGAAAAATTGAAGGAAGATCCTCTCAACTTCAACTTATTGAGCATTGTAGTTGAAGTGATAAGGTAAGCTCCAAATTTATTGAAACTTACATTTTCTTACTATGCTACTTATGCTAAGATTATATCATATTTGTGTGTTTTTATACACACAAATTAATTGTGGATTTTTTAACTTGTTGAGTGGAACCAATTTTTAAAAATTTTTCTTTTGGTTTAAAGAAGACTATAAACCTTGCAAGGGGGAGTAGAAAGGGGAAGACTTGAGAGTTAAATCTCGTTCTACAAGCTCATGTCCTTAATTACTAGTTGAATTAGGTAGTGGAAACATATTTTACTATTTATATTCTTGTTATACAACATAGAATAAAGAGTAATTTTATCTTGTAAAAAAAATGAATTGTTATGGCGTTGAATAAGTACAAATTGCAAGTTGTCATTTCAGCTTCAGAATTCTATTTCAACTTTTGTGTGATTATTTCCAGTGGCTATGGGAATGTTGGCTTCTCAATGGGCTATAGTTGTGGAAGACAACTTAAACCTAGCAACAATTGTAAAGATGCATCCTATGGATTTGCTGGAAAATGGAGCACCCAAGGAAAGTTCATTCTCATCATTGTCATGTTCTTCGGAAGGCTCAAGAAATTTAACACAAAAGGTGGTAAAGCTTGGAGACTTTCATAGCTTCAATAATTTGTAGATCTTTTAGCTAGCTAGGTGCTCAATTTAAAATAGTGTAAATTGAAGTTATTCTATTCTGCTCTTTTTGTGAAACAATTTCCATTTTGTATGCACCATCTAGACAAGCAATATAGTAAAAGATGTATCAACATTATCTAGGAAAACTTTTTTGTATATCATCGTCTAAACAAATTTTGTAACCCTCTATTCTTCTTTTCATCTGTTTTTTGTTTCACGCGTATCAAATCATTTTACTTGTCTATTTTTTTTTCTCATGTATCAAATCATTTAATTTTTCTATTTTATTAAATTCACATGTATCAAATCATTTAAGGTACTATAGTGAATGATACAAAAGATTTATTCAGATAATCTTTAATCCAAATAAACTTCTAAAATGAGCTAGTACAAGAAGTATAGTTTTCAGAATTGATCCACCTTTGTGACTAAATTTTATCTATTTAATTCAGCAATATTGATCAAAATACTATGAGTTAGTATATTCCAAGAATGATAGACACAGGTTCCCAGCTCTTAAATGAAACATCATCTTATAAAAATTAAATATGAAGATATTTTGATGACAGAATTTGTTCTTATGATCATCCAAGAGCAAAAGGTAAAACTTTATACACAATACAATACTAGTTAGATTCTAGTCTAATGCCTATAAATTAGCCTTTGACTTTTACTAGGATGGCAACTAACTAATCAAATTAATATACAAAATATTCTTTTTCCTATTCTATTTGATTGTCTTTAACAAAATTAGCTCGGGGATCGTTAAGGGTATACCTGGCAATTGGGCGGGTTGGGCGGGTTTGGGGCGGGTTAATATTGGATTTTCATTTAAATGGGTTATACCCAATCCGCTCAACTTAAATTTGGGTTAATTTTAGAATGGGTCATATTGGGTCATCACAAAACCATGACCCAAATATGACCCAATATATTAATTTAATAGATTTTGATACGTAAACTCTCTCAAATACATTTTCACATACACATAAACACATTTTTATATAGATAGACATATTTTCACACACTAAAACACTCACGATACAAATACACACTCACTTCTTAAATTCATTTGAAATACATTAGTGTGTTTGGATAGTAAATTTTTTGAGATAATTTTGTGAAAAAAAATACTGTAACATTTTTTTGATGTGATGTATGTGACATAGAAAGGTGATTGAAAAATGTGTAGATGATACAAGCAAATCAGTGTGTATAAATAAGGTGTAAATAATATGCATTTCAAACACACTATTTTTACGCATACGACCACACTAAAATACATCCTAATATACTTTTACAAATACACGCACATACTAACTGTTTAAACTCTAAAAAGGTTAGTGAAATTATTAGAAATCTCATCTCAGGAGAGGTTTCTGGAATTACGCCATATAAAAACGATGGCAAATTGGACCAAAAGCAGCATAATAGCCTGCTTCCATACATTGACCGCTTCCAAACTTTGAAAATTTGTTTCTTTTTTTCCCTTTTTTTTAAGAATATACAGGACCAATTTCCCCACAATGACAGTAGTACTTCGTAAAAACAGGAAACAAGTAGACATTAATTAATTATTTGGCTACGAAATACTAGATTTAGCAACTAACAAACAAATAATAAGAAACTAGATTTAAATTCTACAAGTCGACAACTTCCTAATGACCTTTATTGAGCAAAAAAATTAATTTGTTTATTTTTTTTAACTTAAGTTGGGTAATAGGTGCCCAACACAATTACTCAAACCACCCAAAATATATGTAGGCTTTTATTACCCAACCCAAATTTGACCCAACACCCAATTTACCCAACCCAATCTCTCAAATTAGTGGGTGGGTTGGGTGGGTTATTGGGTTTTGGGCATAATTGCCAGCTCTAGTTAAGGGTTTTGAATTTCACAATTTATGACAACAATAGGATGCTAGTGCGAAAAACATCTTACTATCAAGGCATTGTGAATATGCAAACTAAAATTTCTTATGCTGTATATTTTTGCATCATTTTATGGATAAATTAATCCAAGTATAAATTATAACTATAAAGTGGAAAAGCGCAAATTGTTGGTCATTTTACGAGCCTTTTTTTGGATTAAATACAAAAAAACTCCCTTGTGGTAAGCCAATTTTACATGTTAATTTCTTATAATTTGAAAACCTATAATTTAGCCTCTATGGTTTGGATTAAAGTGAAACTGTTAATTTTCTCGTTAGATTTAAGAGTCGACAGGTTAAAATACTCATTTGATTATTACGGCAAAACATATATCGTAAAAGAAAGGGATAGTTTTAGAAACCTTCCTTAAGATTTCCGACAATTTCATTGCCCTCCCCTGAAATTCTAAACTTATAACTAATCTCAATTGAAACCAATTTCTTGTAACAATTTAGTCCAATTCAAAAAAAAAAGCAATAATAAACAAAAAAAATTTCATGTGTGAGAAGATTTATTTATGCCAAAAGTGCTCATCAACTATTATGCTAGTTAGATTAAATATTTGATCTAACTTGTTAATTTATTTATGGGGCCATTATTACACATGATCAATAAAAAAAAATTTTCCATCATCCATAACAAAAAATAACAACTTTCAAAATTTAACAAAACAATTTTTTTCCATACCTTAAGATTCTTGCTATCAGCACAATTATAAGAAAAATTAACCCAAATGAAATCTCTTTGTATTAGATTGCTTTTATTTATTAAATACATAAATTGGAAAAACAATGCTAAGTATTGGATCCCTTCTTAGATGCCAAATTAGATTTTCTTTTTACATTTCAAATTTTGGTTAATTTTGTTTGTAAATAGCTTAACTGTTTCTCGTGTTTAAATCCTTTAATTTATCAATTGCATTATGTTTGGTTTCTTTATTTGTCAAGTATATAAAAATTAAATAAGATGCACCTAATATTGGCTCTATTTTTAGATGGCAAATTAATTAACCTTTTACAATCCAAATTATGGTTAATAAAGTTAGCAAACATTTAATTCTTTTTCTTCACACATATGTATAATTATCATAAATTATAAGGGTAATAGAGTCATTTAGCTATTAGTGACATAAGAATTGGATTCCAAATGACTGACGGAAGTAAGTGAAAGTTTTTAAAGCCTCAGGGATCCGGAGGGCATTGCAGGCTCCTAAAATTGTCCCTAAGGCTAAGTTTGGGAGTTTAGGATAGAAAAGAGAAGAAGGGAAAACTTAAGTTATGAGAGAAGAGAAGAGAAGAGAAAGGTTTGTTATGTTGTTTGGGAGTTTTGAGAATTAGTGGAATGATTTTTGGATATAAAAGTCATTAAATATTTGTTCAAGACATTTTTAAGGATAAAATAGGTATTTTAAAAAACTTTCATAAGTTTCTCCAACTTTCTCTCCATTTCTCTCCAATTTGAGAGAAAAATTTTTACTCACTATTTATTCTCTTAAATCCTTCAATTTCTCTTCTATTCTTTCATAATTAAAACTAACAAACGAAGGAAATGTTCACCTTCTCTTCATTTCCTTTCTTTTCTCTCCAAATCATCCACTCCCAAAGGAACTTCACCGCCAACCCCCAGCGCCACCGATACCAAATCCCACCGCCCCTCTGTGATATCTTCCCCCCTACCCACCTCTGATCTTTCTCACTATTTCTCTCTTTCTCAACTGCTGTCCCTCCGTCGGCTCCACCAGCACTCCAATCCCATCGCCCACCCGAAATATCTGCCGAGTAAGTCCCTGCCCAATTCACCACGGCCAACGTCTTATCTCCGGCGAGTTCACCACTGCTACGCATGTTGCTTTGAGTCTGAAAATGTAATTTATAATATTCCACAATCTGCGCTTCTAATCTTGCACCAACATGAAGTAGGTGAGTTTCAAGTGATAACTCCACTCACAAAATCAATGGTTTGAGTAACGCCTGAATTCGAATTCGATTTGCGAGTGGGGAACCTTTGGTGATATGATGCAGTTCCATACTTCATCCTACTGATACGAATCTGCTGCTTATTGTTTTCGGATTCTTTTGCATTTTTTGGGTTGCATTTGGGATCAGCATTCAAAAAGATGATGGAATAAAATATGATTTTCATTTTGACTCCACACATTTTTTTAATAGCTACATCTTAACCTTGTTTCAAAGTGCAATTTAATGATTTCATCATTATTATCAAAAAAAAAATGATTTCATCATTGTTTCGTTGAAATAATTTGACTATTAAATTTAACCGGAAAACTACCGGTTTGGCTTTGAGGCGAACGGATCTTCTGTCCCATTTTCTATGTCAGTTTCTGTCCTATTTTTTATTATATTGCTATTCTCCTTCATAAATATCATATTTTAGTTCTTTTTTGTTTCCTTAAAATCCAATAACTATTAATTGAGTAATACATAAAATTTAACAAACTCAAAAAATCAAAATGCACAAAAAATGAGATTTTTTTAGAAATTTTTGTTGTATTTTTTAATTTTCTATTATATATTACTTCTTTGAGATTGTTGTATTTATTTCTTACTCAATTAATAGTTATTGAATTTTAAAAAAAATTAAAAAGAACTAAAATATAATGTTTATGAAGGAGAAATAGCAATATAATAAAAAATGGAACAGAAAGTGGTATAGAAAATGAGACAGAAGATCCATTGCGACTTTCAAAATATGGAGAGTTAACTTGTACAGTTGTCTTACCACATGAAATCCTCAGTTGCCTCACTTCGATAGTTACACGGGGTGAATTCTTAGTTTGTGATGGAAAAAAAAAAGAATTCTACAACGAGGGCGGTTTTTGGAGTTGTTTCTGCAAAGGGGGGTCTTCGCATTTTCAGAATGTGAGCTCAATGTGAGCTCGCATTCGGGAAATGCGAGCTCAGCGAGCTCGCACTACCCAGCGCCAAAACCCCATTTCGAAAAAAAAAAGACAAAAGAAAGAGCTGGTTGAATAGCTGTCGAACAGCAAAACATTACGAGGGTTTGTTGAATAGCAAAACAAAGAAAACAGAGCTGGTTTCCAAAGACCGGAGCATCCAAAGACCGGAGCAGAGCGGAGCATCCAAAGACTGGTTGCGTGTTTGCCGCTTCTCAAAATTTGCCAGCATTGCCGTCCCATTGCGACTCTCAAACAGCATAAAGGTTAGGCTTTTTCACTTGCAATGCCTCACTTATA